TACCTCGGACTTCATGAATCTTTCACGGGTTCAAGGGTTGCCATCATGCGGTCTTTAAATGAGAAACTCTCTTCGAGAGTCAATGGTTGGAAATCTAAGTTCATATCTCAAGCGGGTAAGGAGGTGCTCTTAAAGGCAGTGGAGATGGCTATGCCCACTTTCACCATGTCGTGTTTCAGAATCCCCCAGACTATTTGTTCGGGCATGGTCTCTCCAATGGCCAAATTTTGGTGGCAAAAGAAGGAAGATGGCAGAGGCATTCACTGGGCCTCCTGGCCGAGAATTAGTGTACCAAAAAATGAAGGTGGACTCGGGTTCAGAGACTTAGAAAGTTTCAATACGACTCTTCTCGGGAAACAACTTTGGTGTATGATTTCTGTCCCTGATTCTCTGTTTGCAAGGGTATTTAAGGGCATGTATTTCAAAAATGGATCGGCGCTGACTGCATCTTTAGGATCCAGACCTTCCTATGCGTGGAGAAGTCTCTTCTCTGCTCAACCCATTGTCAGAGAAGGAACAGTTCGAGTTATTGGCTCCGGCAATGCTATGTCAATCTGGGAAGACCCTTGGCTGCCGACGGAACCACCACGACCTCCTCGACCATTAGCTCACCCTCCCCCTGAGGACGTTCAGCTCCGTGATTTACTCCAGGATGACGGGAGAGGGTGGAATCTGGACCACCTTGCCTTGTTAGTTCACCCTGAGGATTTACCGTGGGTGGCTTCAGTAAGCGTGGGATCCTTAGCAGCCCCTGATGGTTTCCGATGGTGTTTTAATAAGAGATTGTTTAATTACTTATGATCTGATATCAAATTTTTGTGTCCGCTCTTGCATAAAAGATAAGTACCGACAAGAAGAGACCATTTCCGTGAAACAGAGAGAAATTTTTGGAGAACAAAGAACTAAAATTATCTTTAAACTTAATGTTATATATAATAATAAATTTAGAGATGAAACTAACATGATATCAAAGCTAACAAAAAAGATTGGTTAGTTACACAAACATACCACTAAATTTGCGACTCTATTTTTATTCTAGCGTTAATGGTTTATGGAATTTATTGTAAAAAAAAAAGGTAATGATTAAGTTGGAAATCGAAATTACTTAATAGATTTTTTTTCTTTCTAAGATAGTCCTTTAAACTAATCGAATCGTTTCGATAACTCCTTCATATACGTCATACAAGAAAGACTCAAATAATATAGTCTTTAAAGAAAGACTTCACATAATATAACTTACACAGACTTTGTTTAACTTCTGACAAATTAATATCTTTATATCTTGCATTATACTTCATACAATACATTTTAGACGACTTTATACAAGGACTTTTGTTTAACTTCTAACAAGCGAATACTTTTTCCAAGTTGCATCATATTTCTTACAATACAATTTAAACAAAGACTTCATACGATACAACTAAGAGCAAAGACTTTGTTTAACTTCTGACAAATGAATATTTTTCCATGTTCCAATATACCTTACACAATAATTTTAAAAGACTATATACAGTACAACTTAAAAAATAATGACTTTTGTTTAATTTCTAATTAACAAACGTATATATTTTTCTAAGTTACATTATATCTCTTACGATACAAATTTAAAAGAAGACTTCATACAATACAACTTACATCAAAGAATTTTTTATTTTGGTCGGCAAAAGACTTAATTTATTTAAGTTTGGACAAACAAATATTTTTCTAAGTTTCATTATAGGTAGTTGATGTGTTATTATTTTTTTTATCTCTTTTGACCTTAGCTTCTAATGCAGTTTTGGTGTTTTATCGAGTTTTTAGTCCCTATCAAGTCATTTTAGGTAAAAGGACGGTTTGGAGCGAATTTGGAAATTTTAGAGCAAAACAAAAGGAAACCGACGAAAAAGAAAGGTGTCAATCTACTGTTCCTAGAGGTGTTATCGACAAACTACGAGCCAAGCCAAGTGAAACCTTCTGTGGCCAATCTCGATAAATGATATTATAGAATTTTAACTCTAGAAATATGTTGCAAGTGCACAGACATTTGCAATAATACTCAGGAGTCGAATCGAGTAGAGACCAAATAATTATACTACGAATTTATGAGATTCGATTTAAGCAAAAATGAAAAATATGAGTGTTTGTTCGTGTGGACAGTAAAGAAAATAGCAATAAACAAACTAAAAAGCAATTAAATATGGATATAAAATCAGTAGATAAAGTGATGATTTACATGATGAATATTGAGCCATTTTATGAACCGACTTGTTCTGTAATCTTGACCCATGAGAGGCATGCAGAAAATTGGATTCAGACCAAGACTGGTATAAACTTGGAAGTTATTAATTTTTAAAACCGTAGGATCTCATACTTGTCTTAATTGAAACCTTCCAGGATTGGAAGACTTCAATCATATGCTTGGCATCCAGGAAGATCTCTAATGAAGCTACAATCTTTTGGTGATTCGAATTCACCAATCTTTTGAAGCTACAATCTTCTCTGAGGTGAAGCATATGGCTAGTTGTGTTGAGCACCATTGATGGCACGTATATGTAGTTGTCCAAGTGGACTTGGCAACAGCAATACCTCAATTTTCGGTATATGGTGATGCTTTTGACTATTTAAATTATTAAAATGCAGTTATAATTTATTTCATATGGTAGAAACAGAACTCCATAGTTAAACGTGCATGAACTACAACAATATATGGATGGGTGACCTTTTAGAAATTAATTTCTAGTACTGAGAACAAAAAAGGAGAAAAAGCACGTGGTGATTTGAAAGGTCAGTGAACAAGTCTTTCGAGTCTATCGGAGTAGCGCACCGCCAGTCAGACGAGGGTGGAGCCCATAAACTGGTAAAGAGAATGGAGCCCACAGATGGTGGCAGTCGGGATGTTCATCAACTCATAAAGATCCTGGTTCCAAGCAGCACCAGTTTCACGATGCAATAGAGCTTTTTAAGCCTCAGCAATAGCATGATTTTGCTTGATGTTTTGAGCAAGTTTTGATTTGTTTCATCCATCTTAGCTTTGTTCACCTTTGCTTTTCGAGGTTCTCGTTTTAGCCTTTCATTATTGGTGCTCGACGATATTTGAACTTTTACTCATTCTTGTTATGCACCTGCAACACGCAGAGTATCAAAGCCAAAAAAAGTAAAAGAATTTTTTAATCGAAACTTACTTTAAAACCTGAAGACAACATAATGGTCCCTGTAACGACGCAAAAAACTTTATACACATGCTTTTAACCCAAAAAAATATCATAATGAAATTTAAGACGATGTAACGACTAAAATAAGTGTTAGGTAGTGGGGATACTCTCAGGGAATCATAGAAAGCAAATCAGGAAGAATTACTAGGAATCGAATTAAGAATTGTCCTAATACTCAAATTGCAAATACATAATGATGCTACTCTCACAGCAATAACTACAAGAAGAACCTTCACATAAAATGTAGAGTTAGAGATTCTTTTCTCGATCTGTAGTCAAATCTGGCAATCAGCACTACAAGCGATTATGATGAACGACTCCAAGAACAGTTCTACAATCTGCAGCTCTCCTCGCATCACTTCAATCTCTGTTCTGTACTTCTAACTGCACCATATTCATGATGGACAACTTTACTCATAACACGCAAGACCACGACGGTTCTATCTACAGCACTCTGAAACTTCCAATAAACCTTACATCCATTAATGTGCAAGAAAATGCACTTTTTAACTATCAAGTCCAGATCCGGTGTAGAAACCTTTTAAACTCTTGATGACTGGGCCAAGAAGCTTCCACAAGCAGTTATAGTTAAACAGCGATATTAAGTGTTAAGAACTCTTTCTTAAAAATTCTAGTCTGAATCATTATTTAGTTGACATGATGTTAAGAAACATGAATATAAATCTTTTGGATCAATAGCTTTAATTTGTTTGTCGAGAAAGAGTTCAAAAGAGGATATAACCCGTTTTCATTTAAAACTAACCGGTGGCGCTTGGAATGGCCCTCCACAAGAGCATAAAGTTGTTTGGAAAGAGTTTGTAATTGCATACCTAGCACAGACCTGGAACCACTTGGATAAACAAATTAAAAACTAGCCGATCTCCTTTGAAATTGTAAGTGGATTGTTAGTTATAGATATTAGATGGTGAACCTTTATCATTTAAGAATAATCGGGCCCTAAAAAGTCAACTAACTCAGGACTATTCTCTTGGCTTCACATGTAAATAAAAACTAACGCCGATCTCCTTTGGAAACTGAAAGTGGCTTGTTAGTTATAGAATGTTAAACGTCAACTGACTAAATGCTCTTCACTTACCTTTAAACTAGGGATTAATCAAATTTGTTTGACCTTTAATTAAATAATTAATTTTGAAAAATACAGTTATTTTTTTAAAAACAATTATTGTTATAAAGTTTACAATAATATAATGCATTTTTGGGATAAATTTAAAAAAAATGAATTGGTCCACATATGAAGTCATTTTTTTTTTTAGGTTGAATTATAAAAAATGAGTTAACTCGTATATAATGTTTTTTTTAGCAGAAAAAGACATTGTGGAATCACCTAAAACATATATGATTTTTTCCATATTCACATAATAATGATTATATTTTCTTGTAGACTTTTTTTCATATATGCATTCTATCATAGGTTAGAATTTTTTTTCTCTAAAATAATTTTAGCCCAATTTACTATTATTTAAGACCTGCAATTTTGACCCATGCATTTTTTTACGGCCTAGTTAATTAATATTTAAGATTTAGTTATATAATATCTTACAAATTAAGATTTATTTATATAAATGACTACTCAAATAATAATATAGAGATGTAATGACTTTTGAAAGATTCCTTATGTTGGTGAATAAGACAACAAAAATGAAAGACAATATAATGCATATCACCATCTTTCTTCTTCTAAATAAATATTGAACATACATGTCACATCCACATTGAGGGATTATATAGTATGATATATTTAATGAAAAGAATACTTTCAATAGTCTATATAAACTTGAAGGTAGATTGATAGATTAATTACATCTCTCTAGCATCTGCGAAAAGTTTTAAGGCTTTCGGCGATAAAATCAAGTTTGTCCTTTTCTCAAATTATAATTTTTTTTTTCTTTTGGTCATATTGCATCTATCTATTTGTATAGATATTTACGTTTTCCTTACTCTTCTAGTTAAGAAGTTCCCAATGGCCGAGTCACTTCCAGTGGAAAACATAGTCTTGGTTGGGCGTACAGGGAACGGAAAAAGCGCCACCGGGAACAGCATCGCCGGAAACCATGTGTTCGTTTCGAAAGCACACGCAACAGGCGTTACAATGGAATGCGAGTCAGTGATAGTTGACACACCAGAAGGCCAGAAACTCAGAGTGATTGACACTCCAGGTACGTACGTTGTCATTGCATATATATATATATATATATAATATTGTCATTGCATATCTCTTGATGTTATGGAGTCAAATTGTAAGTAAAATGATTAATATGTGGAGTGGGATGAGGTACAGGACTATTTGATCTGACGTCGTCGGCTGACTACATAAGTAAGGAAATCGTTAACTGCCTACATCAAGCGAAAGGAGGGCTGCATGCTGTACTCTTAGTTTTATCGGTGAGGAATCGAGTTACAAAAGAGGAAGAGGTGGTACTTAGTACCCTGGAGGTCCTTTTCGGGAGTAAAATTGTTGATTATCTTATCGTTGTTTTCACTGCCGGGGATGTGTTAGAAGAGGATTGCGAGACAATCCAGGACTATTTGGATGGTTGTCCTGACTTCCTAAAGGTCGGTTCACATTTACCAACTTTTTGGAATTAGAGGTTTCAGCTTGGGACTTATGAATTTGCAATTTCTGTGGTTTCAGAGACTTCTCGTACTGTGTGAGAACCGAATGGTCGTGTTCGATAACAGAACCAAGGATGAGGCGAAGAAGACAAAGCAAGTCCATGATCTTCTCACAGTTATCGACCTGGTCAGAAAGCATACCGAGAATAAACCATATACCGAGGCCATGTACCAACAGATAAAGGTTTATAATAGTTTCCCTCTTTAATTTGTTCCAATCTGCATCTTTTCTCTAGCGTGTTTTAATCGCCGAAATCAAATGGTATCGCTCATCAGGAAGAGACTGATAGACACAATAAAGAACACGAGGAGCTTGCAAACAAAGACCATTCAAAAGAAGAATTCGAAGAATTGAGGAAGGAGTTGATGCTGATAAACGAACAGAACCTCAAGGCAATGGCAGAAATGGTATTATCTCTTCCTCTTCGTTCATATATATACACACACACACAGATATGTGGTGTTGATGTGGACATTAACGAGTTATGATTCCTTTTCTCAGATGGAGAAAGAAATTAGAATGGTTACGGAAGCGCAGCAGAAGCTCTTTGAGCAAAGAGAAAAATCCGAGGAGGAAAGGCATCTTGCGGAGGAGGCGAGACATCAAAAGGAAATGCAGGATGCAATAAATCAGATGGAAGCCAGAACGCAAGAAGAAATGAATAGGCAGATGAGGGATGATGGTTGCAACATTCTCTGATCAAATCACTGTGCGCTATTCCACAATCTCCTTTTAAAAATAAAATAAAGAGCCATTGCCGAGACTTTGTGTTTCTAATGCAGAGTATCTTCTTTATATTCCTCGTTTGAGCACGCTCTTCGGCTTTTGGCGTGTTTGGAGTGTCTGTTTCTGTTTTTGTTTGAGTTTTAACTCCGTTATTTCCTTATGTTGACTAGGCCATTCGTAGCCTAATCACCTTCTCGTTTTAATCTTCTTTTTTGCTTCTTGTACGCATTATAAATATATGCGTGCGTGACTGTGCTTTGTAAGGCGATACGTTTTTATTTGATTTAATAAAGAGTCGAGAAAGAGTTTTTCTCAATGAACACTGGGGTTATTTCCATGTAGCATCGTGTGATCGATTTAACCGAGGATGATTAAGACCGACGAAAGATAATGTCAACCTCAGATTCCTCCATATTTCGTACCACTTCTTTTATTTGTGTGAATTTGTCGCTAAAACGTGTGAAAATGCCATCTTTTTCCACGTAAATGTAAAATATTCATGATCCAACGAAATTAGATTTCCTCGTTTTGCAAGACTCCGAAACTAATACCGTAGTCTCCAGATGAAAAAAAGAAACTCAAACATTATTTTTAACAAACTCAAACAAAATTCTGACGATGAACCAAGTCGTATAATTATCTTTGTACAATTGAGTAAAAATAGATTTCTAGCTTTCACCAACCAAGCCCTTATCATGTTTATTTGTCATATCCTGACCTGCCTTCCCAAAGGAACCAGACAGAGCGGCCATGCTACCTTTTAACTCTGCCTTTTTAAACGAGAAGTTCACTGAACTTCAGTTACAAGTAACCTTCTTTCTGAATAACGTTCATTTTTTTCATTCAAACCAAAATCTTACAAATTCAAAATATAACTCTTAAATGACCAAAACAAATAACGAATAATTGTAGAGTGAATGAGGTCAATATATATATATATGTATATATATATATATTAATACATAATATTACTTATGTTATTAAACATTATATTTCTTACCTCATCTTATCTTAACTTTATTTAAAAATAATAATTATATTATCTATTTAATAATAAGAAAGTTTGTAAATTTTCATACATTATAGCAAAAGTAAAGTATCTTAGTCTGATGTTAGACCGATTAAATAGAACTTATTAATCTAATTTAGTATATTTAATGTGTAATTTCGTTCATATAAAAAATACTATTAAAATTAATTATAAAATTAATAATTATCTAGTATTTATACAATTGCATATATATTTGTAATTATAAATATCAGCTGATATTTTTATAATTGTATTTATATATATTATATTTGCATATTAAAATAAAAAAATTATATTTAATATTTACTCTGCACATGGTGCAAGTAATCACCTAGTGAGTATGTTATTGTGCTAAGATACTAAAATGGTAAGTTAATAACTCTTTGATTACTGAATACTAACATGCTAACAAATTATCGTCCTAACATACTAATTTAATAACAATTTGATTAACATGGGATAACACCATGTTTTTACTCATTTTCACTAAGGATTTTTTATGCAATTTCAAATGTTTTATTTTGTAAATATTTTTTATATAATTTTTCTATATTTAAAGTTTCAAAACTCTTATCAGGTAATTTAGGAAAAATCATTGCAAACTGAAAAAAAAAATAGATTTACTTTATTTGTTCTTAGTTATTTATTTAGGAAGATAAATATCTCTCTCTTGAACCTTTTTTACTCTTTTCTATCTATTCAGTGTGTGCATTCATCGATCATGTTTTTATTTTTTTTCAGTCATGTCTGAGTAGATTAGTAGTTGGATTTATGGGATTCATCGATGGGGATTTACTGTTCGATTAGGATTATTTGTTTTCTTTGCCAAATTCTATATCTCATCTTTTCTAAGTTTATTTATACTCCATAAAGTTAAAATCATGAACTAGAAACTGATTCTTGGAAGATAAACCCACAAAGATGCTGTATTTGTTAACCGGACATATCTTCAGAACTCAATAACTATTTGATTAACATTTGATAACACTGTGTTTTTACTCATTTTCATTAAGTACTTTAAAGCAATTTCAAATGTTTTATTTATTTTTAAGTGTTTTTATTACGTGTTTTCTATATTATGAAGTTTCAAGATTCTTGTCACGTTATTTAGGAACAATCATTGCATATTTAAGAAAAATCTATATTTCTAACTCAGCATCAAACCGTCAGAAGTTCAGTCTCAAATGAAAATCATCTCCCCGTATGATTCAGCTAAAAATTTGAGATATTCAAAAGGGACCAGTTAACTTTCTACTACATTTTATGTGAGGACAACCCAACGGTTAAATTAAAAGATACATAAAGATCAAGATGTCCCGTCAAGCATAGTCAGCTTTCAAGTAGTAGCCAACACACTCCTGGCCACGTATCCAAGCCTGCAACCATGGAGAACTTACTTTTCTCTGATTCTGGAGAGCCCCGACCCGTGGCCAAGTTCATTCCATCCTAGAGACCTATTTTCAAGTCCAATTTGCTTTCGTCAAAATTCGATGTAAGAATACTTGAAGCACTGTAAATATATGCCTTTAGGAACCCTATACCGTGTGCTTTTGATTATTCTCGTATGCCATCATAGAAATACTTCAGCACCAAATATTTACTTTCTTTGTTCTTAGTTATTTGTTTAAGATAGAGATCTCTTTCTTGAACTTTTTTTAATTTTTTCTATGTATTCAGTTTGCATTCTTCAATCATGTCTGAGTATATTAGTAGTTGGATTTAAAGATCTATTGATGGAGATCTAACGTTCAATCATTATCATTTTATAATTAATAACTGATTATGTTGCTGGCACCATTTCCGCATGTTATTATATCGACTTGTAAAACCAAAAAAAACAAACAAAAAAATATTAGCAATTTTTGATATGTTTTTAATTTAAATTTACAGAAACTTTACCAAAATATTTTAAATTTCATTATATTGGTCTAAATCCTCTATATGTTTTTAAACCCAATGACCTAAAAAAATATATTCGTAAAGGGATTGTGTCAATTTTTCTTTCTTTGATTTACATCGTGTATGGAGTATCTACAACGAAAGTTTTCTTTTTGACTTCTAATAAAACAAATTTTCCAACTACGCGTTACATGGTGTTATTTGTATATGTGCCTTTGTTTAAGATGGAAAGGCCATTTTTATTCATAACATGAAATGGGATGGCCATCAATCCATGTTCCCTATTTTATAGGTACATATAACTAATTTGTTTATATTGAACATTATTGCATTGTACAAAGTCTCTCTTTAATTTAATCTATTAAATAAATTATTTTTTCGAAGTTGATGTGTATCAACACTATAGGGTTCTCTTATTATTAACTAGGCTTAAAGCTAACAAATTTATCATTTTTTAATTAACAACGAATTATTTTTTGCTGGTTCTGTTTTTTTTTTTTATCATATCGACTTGTAAAACCATAAATATCAACTTGTAAAAGCAAAATAAAAATATTAGCACTTTGTGATAATTTTTTTAAAATTAAATTGACGTAAACTTTACTAAAATCTTTTAAAACTTCATGCTATTGGTCAAAATCCTTTAGATTATTCTGTACCCATATATTTAAAAAAAGAAAAAAATGGATTCACAAAAAGTATACAGGATAAGAGATTATGTCACCCAGGTTTTCTTAAATTATATAATATATGTTTTCTCGTTTATATGGAGCTTTTATTTTAAGTTGTAAAGTACGAAGGTTTTTTCTTTGACTTTAACAAAAACATTTTTTTCCAACTATATTTACATGAAGTCATTTGTATATTTTTTTTCTTTGTTTACGATGAAAGGACATTTTCAACATTACATGAAGTCACAAGGCCATCATCCCATATTCCCTATTTTAAAGATGCATATAAATTAATTTGTTTATGTTGAATATCATTGCATTGTACAATGCCTCACTTTTTCTTTAATATATTGAATAGAAAGAATTTTGAAGTTGAGGTGTATCAACACTACAGATTTTTCTGATTAATAGCATCTTTAACACTACAAATTAACATAATTTTATCATCTTGTAAAACCAAAAAATAAAATTAAAAAAATAGCAAGATTTGATATTTTCTTTTTACCTTAAATTGATATAAACTTTAGTAAAATCTTCTAAACTTCATTTTATTGGTCAAAATCCTCGAGATTTTTGTATACCCAGTTAATATTAAAAAAAATGATTTGCAAATAGTATATACAATATAATATATGTTTTCTCGTCTATATGGAACTTTTATTTAAGTTGTAAAGTACATAGATTTTTTCTTTGACTTTTCACTAAACATTTTTTCCCAACTACATATTACATCATGAAACCATATGTATATTTGCCTTTGTTTAAGATGGAAAAGACATTTACAATATTACATGAAGTCGGAAGGCGTCCATTCCATGTTCCCTATTTTAAAGATGCATACAAACTAATTTGCTTTTGATTTTTTGGTGTTATGCTTATGTTTGTTAAATATCATTGCACTGTTTATGACTAGAAAGTTTTGGATCTAAAAGTTTGTCTATTTCTCACAATGACACACAAACCATGTAATTTAACCTTTTTTTTAGAGCAGATCTCTTTCAACATGAATCTAATATGTGATCTTTAAAGACTTTACATTATCAGTAACCTAGAAGCTTAACCGCTAAACCAATTCATTTTGGTTATGATTTAGTAGTGGATGACATATATCCACACAATAGATATTCTACTTACTAAATAACCTTAAATTAGGTGGCTGGCCCGCGCCCTGCGCGGGCTGATGCTCTTCAAAAGTTTTTTTTTAGTATTGAATATAATACCTAAACCACATTTTGAACAGTTTTTTGTGTTTTAAATTTAATATTCGAACCATATTTCGAAAGTTTGTTGAGTTTTAAATGTAATATTCAAACCATAATTGGAAGCTTATAAATTGATTTGTATAATGTTTAATATATATACTTAAAAAAGCATATTATAACAACTGATCATTTACTAATTTTTTAATTCAAACAAACAGAGCTATTCAAAACGTTATCATAGTCAATACTAATTCATAATATAAGAAGATCCAAAAGGTAAATCAGTTAAATATAACAAAATTTAAAAGATAAAACAGTTTAAAAATACCAATGACCACCAAAATATTATAACTAATATCCAATGTAATCTAAACATACTTTTAGTAGCAAACAAAACAACCTATTCAAACCAACCGCGAATTTCTATAAATGTTTTCAAACACGTCTTTGTAAACAACATTTATTGTCTTCTTTTGCGCTTTGCCATTCTTATCTGTAATAAGAATCTTCAACCCTTGGCGTGATGTAACTCTAGACACGGCGACATAAAGTTGACCATGCGAGAACACTGGCTTTGGCAAATATAATCTCACCTTTTGTAGAGTCTGACCCTGACTTTTGTTTATAGTCATAGCAAAAGCTATGGTAATAGGAAACTGCCTCCGGCGCATTCTAAAAGGAAACCTTGCTTCTGGTGGTGACACAAACATTCTAGGTATGATAACCTTTTTTCCTATTTTCTTCCCGGTTATATGGCTTGCCTTGATTACATGCCTAGCTAACCGAGTAATAAGCAACCTCGTACCATTACACAAACCACCCTTAGGATCAATATTTCTAAACAACATTATTGGAGCTCCTATCTTTAACTTGAGAGAATGATTTGGCAGTCCTGATACCTTTATACTATTAAGATACTCCTGTGTATAGACGACTTCTTCTATTTTGCTTGTGTCTGAAGTATCAA